CTTAATAGTCCTGCTTTACACATTTGAACACTGGGAGAATACACACCAATTATACCCATAGGTTTGTAGCTAATTCCCATTTTCCCATCACTTGTGCATGTAAAAGGTTTATAACTATACCGTAGGAAAATGTCTGTACACACTTGAAGATCAGTATGTTGATCTTTAAATTCCCCACCCAGACCATGCATATTGTAAAGTGAAACATGTGAAGTGTGTTTAGGGCCAGTCTGCAGTCCTATTAGCTGGCAAAACCAGGAAGCACAAATTTACACTTAACAGACCATAAAAACACACAAGGCCATGGAAACCACCCCTTGGTGTAGATGTAAGGGGAAATTGGGATTCAGCTGACATATTTTTGCAATGTTTGCAGGATGGCATTTGCCAGTGTAAACCTGACTTGAAAAGATACAGTGTCGTTCACTGTGAATGGTTTATTTTTGCTATAAATGGCCCCTTTATTGGAAATGGTCTCCCTTTACCTTTTAATCTTGGACTATTTGAACTACCCAACCAAATTTTCCATTCTGTAATGCATTACTACAGATGAAGAAAATAAAAATAGGCAAATGTTATAATTCCAGGAATACTGGAATATTATTCCTTCGAATGAACTAGTTCCCTTTAAAATGTGCAGAGAGATTTTCAGTATTGGTACACATAAGCTTGTGCTTAAGAGTTCAAATGTAGAAACTCTGTGCTTACACTTCTAAACTTGGAAATCAAACTTCTGTGAGAGTATAATCTGGCATGAAATAAAGATAGAAACAAGACCACGTGGGAGATATTTGCTGGTCAACCTCATAGTCAACACAGGAAGAAAAATAGGAAGCCTTATTCACTGGAAAAACAAGATGCTCCAAGTCCCTTCAGCTGCTTGTCTTGCTGAATGGACGTTGCCTTTTCTTTCAGGAAACCTTGGCAAGAATGGAGATCTGGCTTGCAGAAGTATAAATAGACTTTAAATTACCCCAAATGGAATGCTCTAATATGCCATAGAACAATTCCCTCCTTATCAAAATATTAAATCCTGCATGCCCTCACCTACTCTATGTTGGCAGCAATGTAATAAAGAAAAAAGTGGATAATACAGGAAATATGATCATCTCAGAGTCTGAATTTCTCATCCCTTGCACCAAGGAAATGAGTGTCAGTTCTGTGGCTGCAGAGAACCATGCAGGTAGGAATGTATAGTCTAAAATAACTTGTATGTAATTCTGCTTTTCTTTTTTCCTATAGATTTCTTAGTAACCTCTACAGTTCTCTGCACTGGACTCTCCCTTTTCAGAGTGGTGAAAGCAGTAAGTAAAGTTGTGGACATGTAACCTCTAAAAAAAATGTTGCTAGTAATTAATGAGAATTGTCACATACAAATTTTTCAGCATTTGGATGGAGAATATTGGTTCAGGCCCAGTTTTCCCAGTAGATACTTTTTAAGATGTTTAGGGAAGATATATTTTCTGAAAAAAGACAAATTCATGCAGAACAAAAAAGTATATCTAGATATAGAAAACAGAAGAATAGTTGCTTGGGATCTCACCAGGATTAAGTATTATACTAACCATGTTTCAAAATGCCATTTCTTGTTTGACAAAAGGAATGTCAGAGACTACACTGCTTCTGAACTACTGTTGTGTGAGTTCAAAGAGGAACTATTAAGCCCTGGATCTGTGCCTGAGCTTTTTATTCCTGGTACTATCAAAGGGTGTGATCATTAATCCCAGTTAAACAAGAAGTCAGCACGTTCCACAGAATCAAAGGGTGAACCAGGATTCAGGAGAGAGATGTCCTGCTCCTGCTTCTGTTGATGAGGTGTTATGTCACTTATGAAGGTCATGCTGAGCTTCTCCTACTTTTTGCTCAACAATTTAATATTAGCTTAGGGGTCATAACTATGCTTGTCTATGGATTTTTCAGTGTATTTAGTCAACATAGCAAACATAATGAGCAATGCATTTTTACAGAATAAGAGGGCATTTATATGTATTATAATTATATATTTAACATATTTTTATTATAAATTCAACTATTGGGAACTTCTACACAAACTTAAATGATTTTATGTTTGCTTACTTCATTAAAGGAGATCAAATCTCACTGGTCTTGAAGAAATTTTAGCCCATGCGACTATCTCCATCTGATTGTTTCAGCCCTTTTATTTGAAGCTGGGTCCATAAATGAATGGTTTGTGCAGAGGTCAATATCCACATCCATCTTTATCCATTTTTGTAAGGTCAATATTCACATTTGTCTTTGGAGTTTAATGTGAGGGCTCAGTCCCATGCTCCATTTCCTTGTGGAGAAGTGAACCTCTTTGTTACTTACATTCTTCACCATTAAAGAAGTCCCAGGAATCCTCAGTGGAACCTAATCTGTTGCTTCTTTAATCTATGCCTGACAGATACTAAGGAAGAAACAGGATATTTGCACAAAAACTACTCAGCAGACATATGGGAGTAAAGAGATGTCCATTATTCAGAAAGAATTTACCTGCTATGCCTAATTTTGCAGAGGAATATGGAAAGAATTGAAAGGTTAAAAGGAAGGGCAACAAATATATGACAAAGCCATGAAAAGCATTTATTGCAAGACAGGAGCTCACAGGTCTGATAACGTTACCCCTCATAAGCATGAAATTCTAGAACAGACATCCCACAGGAAGGTTACTGCAGGAAAGGACTTAATAGAGAGCATGAATGAATGAAATACTGTATTTCAAGGACTAAGGCAATGAACCCAGACTCCTAGGACTGGTTTGTTTCCAAAGTATGACTCCTTTTTTAGAAGAAAATGAATTTCCAGTCAGATGGACCAGAACAGATGATGATTTAGGGTAATGTTTGTTTTTTCCCCATGTGGTTGAACAATGATTCAAAAGAATCTACATTAATAGAAGCAGCTGGTGTGTGTTTTAGTAGTGAGTAGATAATAAAACTTAACAACTTAATAAAGCCAGTTGGCTATGGGAGGTGGGTATGCATATACAACATGATACCTCATGTGACTAAAATGCATATTAAAAATTTTCATTTTTTCTTTGTACTGAAGTCAGGTGCTCAATATATGAAAAATGTCTATTTGGGTTTTTTCCTCAATAAACTGCATCATGTTGTAATTTGGGTAGTCTGATACTGCAGAAGGAAATCTGTGTTTCTTCTCTGCTCTTGAAAAAACCCAACCCAGTAAACTCTACTGCTTTTGCCCTATTTTCTTTTCACCTTGCATGCAGCTCATGAACAAGTGAGCTTCATTAATGAAGTTTCATCTCAGTCCTTTTTTCATCTCACACTCACACTGATGATAATTTCTGCTCCCCTGTCAGTGCTGCACAGGAATCACAGGTACTGCTGCTGAGTTGGGGATCACTGAAGCACAAATATCTCCACAAAAGAGAGATCAAACCTTGTGGATCAACAGCACGGGATCAAGATGTCATCACCATGGGATACCAGAATTCAGGGAGGTCTGGTCACTGCCTTTAAGTGGACTAGGATGGTAAGCAAAGGGCACTTCTTACCATTTTGGCAATGCTATTTGACTGCCTCTGTTACATTTTCTGATTGCTGTCAGGGATTGCAGACTGTCAGTATTACATTCCCGTTTCCCTTCCTGTCACTGATGCAAGTTTTTGGGCCACTGCCTAGAAGAGATCTCTATAACAGAGGTCCCTTCTGTCCTTTTTTCCCCTGACAGAATGAATATTCTCTAGTTCCATACACGGCTGTCTTCAAAGGAGAATGAAGAGTCCTTTCATAACCTTGAACTGAGGCATCTTTATCTTGGGGAGAGAATTTCCTCAAACCTTCCATTTTTGAATAATCTGCAGTAGGATTTGATGCCACATTTCTTCCTTTAGGGCAGAAGTGGGCTCCCTTCCTTACTCAGTGGCTTCCTTATTCTCACTGAGGGTTTCCGTTCCTCCACAGAAGGGACACAGTGCTCAGTAGTGGGGAGTAAACAGAGGCACAGAATGGCGGATGTTGCCAGAAACTCCTGGACACCATCTTGTCCAAATCACCCGCTCAAATAGGGCTGCCCACAGCAAGGACTGTGGTCACATTAATACCTTCATGGATGGAGACTCCTCAACCTCCTGGGGCAACCTGTGCCAGGGCTTAGTCATTCTCACAGTAAAAATTGTTTCCTGATGTCCAAAAAAAAGCCTCCCATGTTTTAGTTTGTGCCCATCACCACTGGTCTATACTGGGCCCCACTGAAAGAGCCTGGCTTCACCCTCTTTGCATTTTCCCTTTGGGTACTTGTACACATCCATGAGATCCCATTGAGCCTGCCCTTCTCTAACCTGAACAGTCCCAGCTCTCTCAACCTTTCCCCATAGGAAAGATGGTCCAGCACCTTAACCGTGGTCATGACCATTTGTTGGACTCTCTCCAGTATGTTCATGTCTCTCTGTACTGGAGCAGCTCAGATCTGAACCCAGCACCCCACCCAGGTGTGTCCTCAGCTGTGCTGAGCAGAGGGGCAGGATCACCTTCCTCGACTTGTCAGAATTGCTTTGCCTAATGCAGCCCAAGGTATCGTTCACCTTCTTTGCGGCAAGAGCACACTGCTGGCTCATGTTTGACCTGATGCCCGCTAGGACCCACAGTGGGTGGGACCCATCCACCCACTGCCAAACTGCATTCCAGTCAGGTAGTCCCCAACCTGTCCCGGCGCCTGGATTGTTCCTCCCCAGTGGCCGGGCTTTGCCCTTCGCCTTGTTAAAGTCGCTCTCCCTGGGTGTCCCCGGGTGCACAGAGCGCCTGTGCCCAGCTGGAGGTCAGCGGGAGCTGTGGAGACACGCACCCACCCGGGCTAGGGAAGCAGCCTGCGGAGGACGGCCAGGAAGACGCAGGGAGGCTCAGGAGCAGCGTCCCGCCGGGAACGCCCGCTGCCGCCTCACCTCTCTCTCGCCGTGCCGCGTCTCGCCGCTGGGACAGCGACCGGCTCCCGGCGGCCGCCCCCGGCCCTGCCCCGGCCCCGGC